TCAAAAAATATAACCAAAAACAACTAGAATAACACAAAATGGAAATGAAACCAATAAACTAGAAAACACAGAAAGACATGACTCAAAGTATAACTGAAAACTAAAAAATAAAAATGCAGAATCATGACAGATTGTGTTATTCGAAAATAACAAAAGGTTTACAATCTATTTTGAATTCCTAATGTTGCCCATTGATGCTCTTTCCATCATTTTCACAGATGAATAAAACAATACAAGGACCAAAGTTTAAAAAATGACAAGTTTTTTTTTTTTTTTTTAGAAAAAAACAAAATGGAAAAAAAAAAAACACAAAAAAAACATAAAGCAATGTTCTCCATTCCTAAACTTTTAAGTATGAGGCATCAATTTTTTATTAGAAATCAATTGATAACATTTTTTTTTAAAGGCTGATGCTGATTATTTTCACATCAGTGTTATTGTTCCCAAACAGGTTAACTGTTATTCTTGAGCCTATTCTTGGAACCAATATTGTTTTGTTTTCCCCCATTTATATAATAAAAATGACACAGTGATAAATACTACACAAGTCTCAATCTAAACAAAATTTAAATTTTTATTTCCAAATCATCATTAACAATCGAGGGAGCGGAACATGCATGTGATACATGTTGTCTTGTTGCATTGCTGCTGAATGCACTAATAATTCGGCCAAGGCATGCATGTAGAAAAAAACTGTAGTATTTGTAAAAATTAAATTCTGGCAAATGTCTTTATTTAGTATCAACATAATTTTGACTATGAAAAAACTGTTTAAAATGTAAAATAAAGAAAACCAAAAACATGCCAGACCATTTCATTCAAAACATCTTTCCCATCAACCAGGACTCAGAATCAGAAATACTTTGATAATCCCAGGGCAAAATTACTTTCGTTACATTACTCCATCTGTAATAGAGTGACTATTTCATATAATATATATAATTAGGGGCTCCATCTCGCCATCAGTTTGGAGGTCCTTGGCCTGGAAAACATTGAAGACCCCTGTTATAAGAAATTACTTTTTGAAAAGAGGCTGTTATTCATTTACACACTTCGATTACACTCTTTGATTGGCCACTTGCTTTTAGCTTCTAAAGCCTTTGCTTTGGTTTTGATTAGTCGGAAAGCTCATACTTTATGAATAACAGCAAAGTGCCTGATAAAAGGGAGAATTCTGCTGCCTGGTTGATCTAAGTTGAACACATCATATTCGATTTGTTCCCAGAGCATCAACTGCAAATCTCTTGACCTCATCCATTAGCCTAAACGACTCAAAGGTTAAGTGCAGACATTTGAAGGTGGCTGCTTTTATTAGGCAGATCTTGCCATCAATCCAGTGACTTTATCTGCTCACAAAAATATTCCACCATAAAACATCTGCTGTCTTTATTTGCAATTTGCTGAATGACCATTAATATAAAAAACTCACATAAAATGTCTTTATGCAAACCTGAAATACTATGATTTTTGGATTACCTAAGCAGGCTTAAACAGTGTATTAGGGGTAGCCAGGATTCATGTTAGGATCTAGAGATTTTGCTCTGCTTGCAATGAAATTCAATAATGATAATGGCAAAAACTTTATGTGTCATTTTAGCCATTCTTGCATGTATTTTGTTGTGTGATCTAGTGTCTTAACACACATTAAAATACTACTTTCTGGTGATGTTAACCACTCCTCATCCTTAGGGTTCAGCCTCTGCATGGTTTCTGTAACCCGTACACTCTAAGTAGGACTCCTTCCTTTTCAAAACAGAGAGGAAACCTCCTACACCTTTTTCCTTCTACAGGCTCAGTAAAACTGTAGCTGAGAGTAGCTAAATAATGAATCATACATTGTTTTTTACCCATGAGTAGCTCATGCTGAGAAGCTTTACGGATATTGTTCTGCTTACTTCTTGTTTCCCACAGTTGTTTTCCTTTTGCCTGTGGTTAAAATGCTGGAAAACTTTTCAAAAGTAACAGAAGCTGTAGTGTTTAGTACAGGTTTACCGCAGCCTTTGTTGAAGATTGGATCTGGGCCAAAACTGAAGTTGATTCCGACCCAGTAGGGGGAGAATACAGATGGTAAAACCTGGAATAGTCAATTTACGCAATACTGATGAAATAAAACTGTGTCATAAATTTGAATAAAGGTGACTATTCCTATTGTAGTGCAAAAAAGCTTACAGATGACAGATTTTTTGTGCAATTAAATAATTCTTGTTTTTGCAAAAATGGCAGACGTTCAGCCAGCTCAATGAAATCCTATGTAAAGATCCCATATCATTGCAAAAATCTTTGTTAGATTGTTAGACGAAGACTGTGGGAGACAAGGTTTTTATGCAACATAATCCTTCTTTAAAAAAAATGAAGGGTCATGACAGTCCTGATAATATAGGGTTAAGCTTGGGATGAAGAGGGGAGATGGTGAAATTGGAGAAATTGTGAGTGCCCCCATGTATTCAATTTGATGAGGGGGTGTCCCTTGGTGTGTGTGAGTAGGACAGAAGGACTTAAAAGATTAAACCTCGGCCACAGTGAGACGACCCCTCTCTGGGGCATTCTCACTACAAGAAAGCTCACTTACTGGTGTACCATTTGCATGGCTTTCTGTTCTACCCAGGGAATCGGTCTTTCTCCCTCCCTATCATCCTTTTCTCCAGGTTTGCACCTTGAAAGATTGCTCCAATCCATCAGCTTGGCTTGTTTCTTAGGCACACAATAGAGAGTAGTATTTAGGACACTTGGCAGGGTAGGCATGTTGGAGGGAATGGAGAACACAGGCTGCTAAAGGCCTTTGCATGGTTTCCACGTCCATCTGCACAAGACTGCTGGGTCTTTCCCGATGCAAATTAACTTTAGCTTTTTTGGGTCAGGACTGCACAAGAGTTTCGTTCTGTCTTACTCTCCCATCTGCTGATTTTTTTTACAGCTTTTAATGAAATAAGTTGGAGGGATATTTCAGAATGTATTGATGATATAGTGCTATAGTAAACTATTCACAACCCCAGACCCTTTTCACACCTCACTATATTGCAATCATAAAAAATAGGTGTACATTGTAAGGTTTATTTTAGTTCCCTAATATACAAAACAGGTAGATATGCAGACCCATTCAATTAATGAAAATATTATTGCAAGCTAAGATAAGAAGTAATAAGAAAACTGTTTGCTTATATGTTGAAATTGTTAGGGGTTGGAGGTTTTGCAGTTTTCTGCTGTGAGTGACCCTCTGGTCACAGACAGGATCTTTGCTGCGCAGCAACTGGTGTTGCTGCACAGCTGAGGTCATGACTAGCGTGTATATAAGGAAGTGAAGGATCATCTGTCTTCGCTGGATGAATACCCCTGATGGTATTCTAGGCAAAGACCTAAACCACAAGAGTGAAACCCCTGGTTGGAGGGAGTTGAATATCCTGTTATTATGTGGACTGACCACAAGAATCTGGCCTATTTCCAAGAACCAAAATGTCTGAAACCTAGACAGTCACGTTAGTCTCTGTTCTTTTCCCATTTTAACTCTCTCATCTCTTACCGTCTAGGCTCTTAAAAACCCAAACACGATTCAATGCCAAGGCAATACCCCCGTGATCAGGAACCTATCTCAACCATCATTCAATAATCCAGCATTGTGGGGCCCTTAAAGTGGGAAAAAACAAATAAAGTGCTGGAGGTTCAGTCGACCAAACCCGACCCTGGCACTGAACTTCCAATCTGGGTATATGTTCCTGCTTCTAGGTCCACCCTCATTAACTACGTATGCACAGCAAAATTGCCCTGCTATGCTGGAATCAACAGAACTCTTGCACTCCTTAAATGACATGCTGGTAGCCTACATTATATAAGGGTGTTAGAGTTATGTTCCTGCCTGTCCAGTGTGTGCCACAACAAACCTAGTGACCAGCTCCATCCATGCTCTCATATTGCCTTGAATTTCGTTTCTGGACTACCACCATCTAAGAGTTTCACCACCATACCATTCTCCGTATAAACGACAGCTTCTCCAAAGCCTGCCACCTCATCCCTCTTAGTAGACTTCCATTACGTCTTGATACAGCTTAGCTCTTGACTCGGAATGTTTTTCACCTTCACTGACTCCCTTGTGAAATCCAGGGGTCTGCAAATTTATCTCCCTATTCTGGAAGGAGTTTTGCACCTCTTTGGGAGGTAAGACTGCTCTCAGTCCAGGTTTTTATCCCCAAAATAATTATCAATCTGAACTCATTAACCATGGAGCTTGAGGCTTGAGTACTCAGTTGCCTTGGGTCAAATTTGCAAATAATTGTTAAACTTCCTCTACTACTGGTCTGTCTCCATTTGGGTCCTCCTAGGATACCAAGCTTCCCTGTTTCCATCTGTCGAGCAGGACATTGCAATTATCTCTGTCAAACACCACAGTTGGCATTGTGGACGTGTCTGGAAACTGAGTTTCTGCGTTGAACCGGTTAGTGGAAACAAATCGATGTCTGGCTGATCGGAGAAGGATTCCTGCTTCCCATTACTCAACTGGAGAAATGCTTTGGCATTAAGCTAAAGGCTTCTATTGGCAACTCTCTCCCAGATTCATTGGTTCATTTGAAATCCAGGCAGAGCTCAGTCTCTCTGCGGTTTGCCTCAAGCTGCTGGATCATTAAAAGATTCATCCTGTCTTTCATGTCTCTCTGATCAATCCTGTACTGTCTACGTATTCCTCCTTTCAGTCCCCCTCCACCTGCCGAAGACATTGACAAGCACTGTGCAAAGGATTTTGGAGGCTCAATCCGAGAAAAGGGTTGTCAGTATCTAGTCGATTGGGAAGGTCATTGACCTGAAGAATAGTCTTTGGTCCCTCCTTCTCCTAGATGAAATCCCAGCCAAAGACCTAAACAGGAATATCTTTCTTGTTGAAATTGGTCTTCTTTTGAATCTCTTGAAAGTAGACTCTGAATCTCAGTTTGTATCCGACCTTCAGGGAAAAGGTTTTACCTGTGTCCAGCATTTCTCAGTCTTCATCACCTGCCTTTCTGCTTTCCAGCCCAACGTGTCTTGCAAGTACCAACACTCTTGGATCTTACTCACATTCTCCAGGACTTCTGGGGTACGGTCTGCAAAGCCTGGTAAATCAAACCCCTACAGATCCATGCCATTGCCTCTTCATCTCTCAAGTAAGCAAATCAATCAGTTCTCAGTTGTCATCAACCAACCCCTTCCTGATCAGACTTCTTTCTCCCTCAGCCCAACCAGAATGTTCAACTGGCTTCCTCCAGTTTTCTGCTTCCAGATTCTCATTGCTTTTTTGAATAAAATTATAATTAATTGTTAAAATTATCTGTGTGATTTTACATGTGTATTAAAAAAAACCTACAAACCAAAATGACAGAAATGTACTCTTTTTTTTCCTTCATAACCCTCTTTACCCTTTCAAGAAAAATAATGCAACACACATTTTCTTTTGTCCTATCATGTAACATTTTAGTTTGGTTCATCTGTAGGACAGTAGGACTCTTTGCTTTGATCTAATAAGGGGGTATGGGAATGCCTAAACTTAGATAAATCTTTCCATTAATTGCATTTTACTTTAACAGCCCAGCAGGGATAGGGCATGAATAAGTAGTCTGTCTGTATAAAACCTGTCTTAGTACAATCTGTGGTTATTGATTGGTTTTCTTACTGTTAATCAAGATGCAGTAATTGGAGCCCATCAGCTTTCTGTCTCATCGGTTCGACTCTGCCTTTGAGAGTAAGCTGCACTCTGTCCTCTAGTAATTATGATTTTTCATGGCAGTTTACTGTAATGCATATTGAGGAGCATGACACAAAGCTTTCAGAGCACGCTAATGCTTTTTCTGAAGAGACAGCTTCAAAAAAAACTTTACTGGTCAGACGTGAGTGGATGTAACTGAACAGAGCCCCTTTTTTTGACCTTTGCCTGCTTTGATGCAATTTATCACATGTAAGGAGACGCTTTGAATAGCTGGAGGCGTTGTGCAAGTAATTGGAAAACAGCCTTTGGCTTTTGCTGTTCATCTTCTTTTCAGCGAAAATTCATACGAACAACATTTTTGCCCTTAACCAAAGGAGGTTGCAAAAGCTTTTCTCTGGATGTGTTTCCTATGTTACCAGGATAACAAACTTCCGTGCTGCTTTATGAAATTGGGCACCAACTTGTGGAGATAAATAGGTTTATTTGCAAATATTCTGACATACAGTAATTGAGTGTTTTAGAATAGTAGAGTTTAGTATTGGTTTTAATGAAGCATTTTTTAACAATGTTATGATATAATGTTGCCCCGCGATGGACTGGCGACCTGTCTAGAGTTTACCCTGCGTCTCGTTGGTAAACAGCCGGAGATAGACATCAGCATCCCTCGCGACCCCAGCTAGGATAAAGCGTGATGGAAAAAGGATGGATGGATATTATAATGCAATAATTCTGAATTGTTTAGCAGGACAGTCACAGTTTTATTTCTGATTGGGCTTGGATTGTGTACTTTTGTTTTCACTTTTATTTTTAAGATAAAAAGCAGCACAAGTTATGCCCAAAAAGCAAAAAAAGACAATCCTCTGGATTTTGTTTCAAAGTTTGAAGACGTTTCGCTTCCCATCCAGGAAACTTTTTAAATTCAAAATGTCACAAATAGAGTTGAGTTAGATTTATAGTTACCAAAAACAAAGCCTTGTTTTGGCTTAGAAAACATACAAATAGAACCACATGAACGGGTTCGCCCTTAAGAATGGGGGTAGTTTGGGTTCTTTGTTTGACTGCAATACCCGTTACCTGTCTATGTCTCTGAAAGGGTTTTTTTTAGAGCGAAATGTTGGCCTGGCTGAACGGGCGAGGTGTTCTGTTCACACCCCTTTCAAACCATCTGTCTTCTTTTTCCAAAATGTGAACATTGTGGTCCCCAAAAGAATGTCCTTTGTCCAGAAGGCGTAGATGTACTGCTAAGTCTTGTCATACATTTTTTAAATCATTTCATTCATCATCTCAGATTTAGAATTTTTATTGTCGTGAATGTGGTTTCTTTGCATCTTGTTGCTTGTTGTGAATAAAAAGGGTTGGATGTTAATCACTATAAAAGTGTGTGACATTGAGCTTATGCTCAGTTATATATACCAGCCAATTGAATCTTAATGACATGCACGAGGAGGACCTAGTTTACTGTTAGTAGGCTGAATGACTGAGGTCATTGATATGCAGACCAGCTGAGGGCCCTGGAGCAATCTGGCCTTGGGTGGCATGTTAACAGCAGGGGTTTGGATAATAGATTTTATTAGCATAGTTTCTGCTAGCAGGTGAAATGCAAAGATCAGAAGAAGGTAGGAGGTGGGAATTTATATCATGAAAAAAAGCTGAAAGAGTGAAAAAGCAATAGTCTAATGGTTTGGAAAATGACATCATAAATATGAATATGATCTCATGGTCAAATGGTAAAACAGGACCAAAACAGATATTTTGTTAAAGACTTTAACCTCATAAAAAAATATTTTTCTGCCTGTGATTTATGTTATGATGCATACAGTCACATTATATTGTAATTTTAGAGTGGATATTAATGGTTCTACATCTTTGGATGGTAGCTTAAAGCTCTAACAATGATTATTATTGCATTGCTGTAGCAAATGTTTACATCAGCTGTTTGAGCATGAGCACAAAGCTTACCTGCGTGCAATCAATTAATCAATCAATCAAAATGAGGTGAGACGAACTTTCTGGTTTGAGCAGGAAGACCACAGCATGAAATAAAAAGTCTGCCGTTCTACTTGGGCAGAGGAAAGAGCTGTGCAAAGTTTGTATCAAGAAAGCGAAGGACTGAACAGACAGCCAGTAAGCTCGCGTTTAATCCTGTTATAAATGCAATGTATGTGCTGCGCTGATGAGGCATTGAGATGTGGGGGAAATGTTTTTGTTTGTAGCAGGGTTAAGCTTGTAAATAGTGTATTTTGAAAAATGAAGATTAAAAAGATCAACCAATAAAATTTTACTTGACAAAAACAACATGCTCAATTTCAATATTAAACCTTACGCATATAGTAACTGTCGAGTTAAAGGTGAGATTGCCTTAATGTGGGTATTTTTGTCATTAAGACATGGATAGACATAGAAAATCTTGCATTTGTACAGAAAACAGATTTATAGAACAGTATATTAACAGAACAGAATTCTTCTTGTCAGGTTGGCAGGTTAGACAGTGCTTTTCCTGACCTGCTGACTCTACATCACTGGCATGTATTACCTGGATGGCTACTTGACACACTGTTTTAAATCAATCTACCATTGTATTATCAGAGGTAAAGCTACTCGAAACTCAATTTGTATAATATAACAAAATAATTTCTTTATTCCGCCTATATAAAAAGGAGCATTGTGCAAGTTTAAAGCTTTAATATTATTTTATTTTCCTTTCCCTTACATGTCTTACAATTGCCTGACATGTACATTTTACTCCAGTTGCATTTAATATAAGGTCCATTAGTCATTTTTTGAGGGAGTTATACCGGTCCTGCTCTCTTGGTTTTCTCTTGGCTCGTGCTCCACACTGGCAGGTTCGTAATGAATGAGAAAACCGGAACGACCATTTTTTTAAGATGGATCAGTAAAGAACATCCACAAGTGCACATCAAAACCCATCACAGAATGCACAAAAGAGTAATAAATTAAGACCTTTGCTTAGTGTGACCAAAAGGGCCTATTTGGAGTCTTACTGTGATGGAGTAGACCAGAGTAGATTTTGGAGTAGCTTTCAAAAAATTATGGGAATAAAAAGAGACTGTAGTTGACCATGTTTTGGCTTAAACTATATCCTATATAACTTTCTTAACTCAGAAGATATTACTCCTCTAAACAAAAAACTTGCAGCTGTAGACTATGATGCTTTTTCTGTTCTACCATGCGTGTGCACAACATTGGTCTCAAGTCACTAGAAAGGCCAAACTTGCAAAAACTCTAGACCTCCTGCAAGATGAAATAATTGCATGCAAAACAAGAAAAAAGCACAATTATAGATTTATAAAATCATGGATTGAAATGTAGTAAAATATGTGCAAAAATACACTTTTGCTGCAAAGTTATATGGAAAATTAGGTGGTCCAATCAATCTTAAGCCAGTTTTTTTTTTTTTTGTAAATTGTTAAACATTTTTCAACTGTCTCAGTGCAGCTTAGATTATGTACTGTAGAGCATCTCTTTCCTCCGTTGTCTCTTTCCTGGGCTTATAGCTTTTTCTACTGTATAATAGACTTAGATAAGTGATGTACATATCCTGTTCTTTACTGTATTGGTGTTTTGTGGAAGATAAACATGCTTTCCTCTCGAGAATTTGGTCTTATTTTCCACGGATACCGTACACCTAGAGAGCATGTTTCTGAGCAGAGAGTTAAAGAGACAAGCAGGCTGAGCGTAGCCTTTTTTTGGAGCTCGAGATCGATGGTTCAGCAATAAATAATTCATTCTTTGTGGGAAAAAAGGATAGATTCAGCATCCAAAAGAAATCCATTCCAGCTTGTGTCTTATTCTGGGACATATATAGTCATATCAGGTGGTTGGGGTCATGTTAGGGGAAAGTTCTTATAGTCTACAACAATTTTCCAGTACGAATATATGTTGTTTAATATGGAAAGTAGTAGAAATCAATGATTACTTGCTAAACTAGCATGTTCGTTGCTAGTTTTTCTAGTGTACCTTTATTAGAATGAATTTCTAAATAAAACCAAAGTTTTATTAAATTGCTATAATATGTACTGTAGTTATACAAAACATTGTAGTACACAAGATTAATTAAATTAAGGTTAATTTAACATTTAACGTGATACAATCAACCAATAAACTGTTGTTCTCTTCAGCACCTAAAAAATCAGTTTTCTCTCGCAGACTGTCAAACCAAATCCTCTGTATAATTTTTTTTATTAGAATAGTTTAATGACATTTTCTAAAAAAAGAAAAAAAAGCACTTTTTCTTTTATTATCAATAGGCCCTTTATTCCCAGTCCCACTAACTCATCACATGGCTCTGTTATATGCTGCCTGTAGAGCTAGTTTGATCTAAAAAGAAATCCCACATTGGCCAGCTGGCCCAGTTACCTGCTTCCCCAGTTACCAGGGGAAGCAGGTAACTGGGGAAATACATTTATGGCATTCTTTCTCAGAAAAAAAGATCACAGAATC